TTGTTGGAAGATCGCGCGTATAGTACCAATTTTTAAACATGGCGACCATCTAATATTACTATTATAGACCCATATCTTTATTATCAAATTTTTGCTAAAGTTTTTGAAAAAATTGTATTTAATAAACTAATTCCATCGATAAAATCTTTAATTTCTAATAATCAGCATGGTTTCATGCCTGCTCGTTCCACAACTACTAATCTAATATGTATTAAACAATTTCTAGCTGAGAATCTTGACATTAACGGACAAGTCGATGTAATTTACACTGATTTTAGTAAAGCTTTTGATAAAATAGATCATAATATTCTTCTTACTAAATTATCTAAAATTGGTTTTAATACTTCACTTACTTATTTCTTTAAAAGCTATCTTCAAAATCGTAAACAGTTTGTTTTTCTTAACGGATTTTTAAGTAACTTTGCAACTGTCAGCTCGGGTGTGCCCCAAGGGTCCACCCTTGGTCCTCTTTTATTTAATATTTTTATTAACGATATATCGGAAGTAATTAATTGTCCTCATCTATTGTTTGAAGATGATCTCAAGTTATATCTTAAAATAAACTCAATAGATGACTGCCTAGTATTGCAGTCTCAACTAAATTCATTTTACTCCTGGTGTGTTCAAAATAAACTGGATCTGAATATTTCTAAATGCAAAATTATTAGCTTTACAAACAAGCGCGTTCCGACGCATTTTGATTATAAAATTTCTGACACCTGCATAGAAAGGTGTGATAAAATATCTGATTTAGGCATTGTATTTGATTCTAGTTTGACTTTTACAGATCACATATCTAATATATGTAACAAGGCGCAAAATCATTAGGATAATATTAAGAAACTGCAAACAATTTGAATCTAATTTGTCACTAATTAGCATATACTATTGCATATACTATGCAATTGTACGTTCAAAGCTGGAGTATGGATCGATTATTTGGTATCCTAACCATAGCAATAATTCAGATGCGATAGAGAAGGTTCAAAGAAAATTTCTAAAATATCTATATTTTAAAACGCACAAAATTTACCCTGAACGAGGTTTCGACCACAATATTTTACTTAATGCATTCTGCGAACATCTCTTGCTACACGTCGTTTCACTGATAGTATTTTGTTTCTGCATAAACTATGTATAATGCCATAGATTGTCCTCAAATTCTAGACCAACTATCCTTTAACGTTCCTAGACTCTCATCACGAACTCAAATGTTTTTCAAATATCCTACTCCTAAGACTAATGCTCTATTAAACTCACCTATAGCGCTAATGTCCTCTAATTTCAACTCAATTAATAAAGATATCGATATCCACATACTTCAGCAAAACAATTAATTGCCATCTGTACAAGTTAATCTTGATATTTTGTCGAGAATATGTTATTTCCATCATATATAATTTAGTTTTACCGTTAAGTATTTGATAGTTTCTTTTATTTTGTGTTATGTATTGTTATGAATTATATTGTTATGTATTGTTGTATCATATATTAGTATACTTTGTATTATTATAATATGTAATATTAAAATTTTTAAGTCTTCCTGGAGCTACTCTGTGGGCTATATTATAGATAAAAAAGCCGCTTTTGATACGATTTCGGTTTCAATACGGCCGCCTTCGGCTGATTATAATATAAACCATGTTTTTAATCACACGGTATACTGTGGTCTTTTAACTCAGCGGATTTTCAATACGGCTGCGAAAGAATTCAGCGGACTTTTAGTTGGCTGCCCTAATCTAGCAGTCTTTCAATTTGTCCGCCATTTAATTCATCGGACTTTTAATTCTACCGGTTTTTGTTATGGCCGCCTTTAAATTTATTCTTTTTTTCGGCCCTGATGACTAGGATATAAATACTACAACGACCCTAATCAGTTTTTATACATTTCTTATTTCTGAGAAACTCTTTTTAGATAGATTAGATTAGAGAAACTGTTTTTTACTTCGTATCTTAAATGAAACAAACCGATTGTATTTTTGCCCAGTAAACAACTTGTAACGATTTTGGCCGCCTCTTAATTTCGCCGCCTGCGTGCGGTGCACGCAATGAACGCCCGTCAGGCACGGCCCTGTCTATAGGAGTAATACAATATTATATTTTTTAATCAATTTGCTATAGTTATACCGCTAATTTAGTTGTTTTGTTTTTTATATTCAATTCAGTTAATGTTTTGCAATTTTCTTCATTAGTATTGTGATTATTCATTTTATATTTATTTATTTTTATTATTTTAGTTGTTTTTATTTAATTAGTTTCTTTCTTTCTTTATTTTTTTTATTAATTTTTGTATTTATTCAGATTTTTATTTAATTAGTATTGTGATTAAATCAGTTTTTTTTCATTTAATTAGTTCTTTTATTCAGTTTATCAGTTCTTTAGTTATATATTCATTTTTTAATTCAACGAAAGGCAGATCCAACGACTTTGGAGATATGGATGAAAAAGTAAAAAAATGAGCCATTTGGCGGTCAAAAATGATCATTAGACATATGCACATCAAATAATTCGATGTTTTATAAAGATTTTAACAATAAGTATAAATTTTGTTTACATTTCTATGGGTTCCGTATCAACGTTTACGCGTTAGAAGGCTACGCGGCGCTTACGCGCTTCGATATGTCTCTATGCAGTACGATTGCTTTGAAAAAAAGTTCAGAATTTCCAAAATATTTCAAAATAAATGATTTACGATAGAATGATTTAATATGGTTCGAAATTCTATTAAAAGTTTCAAATCATTTATCAACTTTTATTGATTATTTTTATTTACTCGAATTTTGAATTGCGGTACGGGATGTTGCAATTTGCCTTGAGGCTCGATGCCCTAATTGCCTTAAGACAGAATTCCACTTACAGCTAGTTTTATTTTGCTCGTCAGTAGAGTCCCTTTTGTCTCTTATTTTATTTTGCTCGTCAGTAGAGTCCCTTCTGTCTCTTATTTTATTTTGCTCGTCAGTAGAGTCCCTTTTATCTCTTATTTAGTTTGCTCGTCAGTAGAGTCCCTTTTGTCTCTTATTTTAGTTTGCTCGTCAGTAGAGTCCCTTTTATATTTTATTTTATAATGCTTGTTAGTAGAGTCCCTATCTTTTTTATTTTGCTCGTCAGTAGAGTTCCTTTTATCTATTATTTTATTTTGTCGTCAGTAGAGTCCTTTTGTCTCTTATTTTGTATGCTAAATGTTAGGTACTAATTATTTAGGTTACTAATTATGTATATTTTGTTTTTTTTTTAATTTATTTTTTTAGTTTATTTCTTAGATTTGTATTTATTCATTTTTTTATTTACGTAATTTATGTTTAGTTTATTTATTTATTAAGTTTATTATTAACGTTTGTTTCTTATTTAGTTATTGGTTAGTTTTTCATAATATTTGGATTTCTTTTATCCAGTTTCATAGTAAGTTCTGTCTTCACTTACTTTTATATTTCGAAATTATTTTTTAACATGAAGATTTAGATCAGTAAAAAAAAAAATTTTGCTCGTCAGTAGAGTCCCTTTTCAGTTAAGGATCAGTAAGGAATTTAATTTTGCTCATCAGTAGTTATTTTTTCATTGATAACGTATTTCAGTTTACTCATTAGTAAAGTCCTTTTTTGTTTTGAAATTATTTTTCTAATATTATATAAATAACACATTTAAATTTGTTCCTCAGTAGAGTCCTTTTTCATTTCAGATCAATTGTACTCATCAGTAGTCTTTTTTTGTTTCGAAATGATTTTTTTAAGTAATATGCAATTAATTTCGTTTTGCTCGTCAGTAGAGTCCTTTTTTTGTTCAAAATCGATAATGAATTTTAGTTCGCTCGTCAGTAGAGTCCTTTTTTAACCCAGATCAATAAGAAATTTGTTTGTTTTTCAGTACAGTCCTTTTTTGTTATGAATCAATAATTAATTTAATTTTGTTCGTCAGTAGAGTCCTTTTTTCTGGATCAGTAATGAATTTTAGTTTGCCTGTCAGTAGATTTCTTTTTTACTTAAGGTCAATAACAAATTTTAGTTTGACAGTTTGTAGAGTCCTTTTTTTGTACTGAAATGATTTTTTACTCTTATAATTAATTGTATTTTTCTCGATAGTAGAATCTCTTTTTGTTCCAAATCAATAACGAATTTTAGTTTACTCTTCAGTAGAGTCCTTTTTTGAATCGAAATGATTTTTCTAATATAATGAATTTTAATTTGCTCGTCAGTACAGTTTATTTTTGTTTTTGAACGATCTTTCTAATATATCGAATTTTAGTTTGCTTGTCAGTAGAGTCCCTTTTTTGTTATAGATCAATAATTAATTTGATTTTGCTCGTCAGTAGTGTCCTTTTAATATAGATATTATGTTTAAGGTTCAAAGTTTGCTTGTCTGTATGGTTCTTTCTGACTAATTTCAATCGTCTTAAAATATTAATATTGCTCGTTAGCACAGTTCTTTTTTTACATTCACATTTGTTATAAATTAGCTCGTCAGTAGAGTTCTTTTTCTATTAATATAATACTTGCATTAGAGTTCTTTTTTTGTTAATAAAATATTTACAAATGGCTCGTCAGTATCTAAATGGCTAAATCTCAATTATTAATCATTAATTCAATTATTCACACGTATCGGGAAGTTTATGCAACTTGCCTTAAGGCAAAATGCCACTTACACCTAATTCTTCACGAACCCAACAATAAAACTAATTAAGTACATTTATACTTAAATAATATAATAATATAATAATAAGTACATTTGTACCTAAATAATATTATAATATAATAATAAGTATATTTGTAACAAAAAATATTGACGTAACGCTTACCATGCGTATCGGAGCCTAAGTAAAAATGTATGGGAAAGCGTCGTGTTAGGTTCGGACAACACCGCAAGCATTTGTAAAATTTAAACAAAACTAGTACGTATTTATCGAAACAATAGCTAAATTTGAATCCGTATTAAGTCTTTATTATTTACAAATATCATGTAACTTATTTTAAGGTAAAATAACACTTATAAAAATATATTTATCTCACCTCCATGGCGAATTGCCCAGCATAAGTCCCAGTCATTGTAGAACTTTGACCGGCTGCCAATATTCCGACAGCCCAAATGTACATGGCTGCAGCCCCGAAGGCGCAGCCTAAATAAATGCCTCCTTTGTACAAATCGGCTTCTACAATTTCGGTATTATTCTGTATAAGAAAAATAATATTAAATTAAAATACATTTGAATTATGATACTTTAATTCAAAGGGAAATTCTGCCATAACATAGGGAAATTGATAATGGTTATCTATTTGCCGTGCGTTCAGGCGTATTTTACATAAAAACAAGTCCGGGGCATGTTCGAGGATTCTGTTATCATAACATTCTTCCTTGCTTTGTTTATATAAAATACGCCTGATCGCACGGCAAACAGATAAAAAATTTAGTTTTTGTTATGTTATGGCAGAATTGACCCAAAACTTACGTTAAAGACTATTAGGGCTTCCTCTCGGATATATGGGGCTGAACTTTTGCAAGTGTCTAACTGGAATAAAAATAAATAATAGTTGGTTTTATATAGATAATAATGTATAAGGATTTATTAATTTTATACTTACAATTTCTTGGTTAGTAGTTTTGAATAAACCATGTGCAAAAACAGCAACTACAAACACATTTATTATAAAAGATATAAATAGTGCAATCGCAGCTTCTATAAAGAAATAGTAGTTAGCATCTCTCACTTTCTCTCGGTTTTTCTCCTGTCGACGTCTCTCGACTAGAAAAAAATAGAAATGAATAAATAACAAAATAGTAAATTAAATTTACTGTGTCGGTTTAGTCAATTAAGTTAGTTTATTATTTTTCGTACCTTTACAAGGGCACTATGCAAATACAAGTTGTGTGGCATAATGACAGCTCCAATAATTCCTACTGCCTGCAACAGAGCCTTGCTATCACAATCTTTGCACCAGGGGAAGAACATTCCTGTTAGCACTTCGCCTTGATTCGGGGCTGATACTACGTACTGAAATAAATTGCAGTTGATTTTAATAAAAGCCACAGCAAAGGATGCTACTGTCCTGGAAACGCTTTCTTATGCTTGTTTATTGTTAGTGAAAACTGTGAAAATGTCTACTTAATTGCCGTGCGATCAGGCGTATTTTACATATAAACAAAGCAAGGAAGAATGTTATGAAAACAGAATCCTCGAACATGCCTCCTTACTTGTTTTTATGTAAAATACGCCTGATCGCACGGCAAATAGATAGACATTTTCACAGGCTGCCCCATAAAATTGATATTTATAATTTTCTAAATAGTCTGAAATAGTTCAAAATAATCTAGAAAATGGACAAGTTAGTTGATAACGTCTAGTTAGTCCGAAATTGTTCTGGATATTCCGAAAATGTTCTTAGTAGTCTAAAAATGTTCTCAAAAGTCTGTTATTGTTCTAGATAGTCTAGATATCAAAAGTTTCAAATAATTAAAAACAAAATCTATATATTTTAAAAATGTTCTCTACATAGTCTGAAAATTTTCTAGATTATTTTAAAATGTTCTAGGTAATCTGAAAATGTTCTAGATATTCTGAAATGGTCTTAGTTCATCTAAAAATGTTCTTAATTTTCTGGAAATGTTTCAGATAGTCTAAAAATGTTTTAAATAATCCGAAATCGTCATAGACATTTTGAGAATTTTCTAGACGGTTTGAAAATTCGTTAAATGATCCGAGAACGTACTAGATAGTCTCAAGAATCTAGAAAACGTTCTAGATTATCTAAAATTGTTCCAAATTATATCTTTTTCGTCTTGTCTAGTTTGTCTGAAAATGTTTTAAATAATCCAAAATTGTTATAGACATTTTGAGAATGTTTTAGACGGATTGAAAATGTGTTAGATAGTCTCAAAATATTCTAGATAGTCTCTAAAATATAAAAAATGTTCTAGATATTTTAAAATTGTTCTAAATTACCTAACAATATTCTAGTTAGTTTAGAAAACGTTCTGGATTGTCTGAATGTGTTCTAGGTAGCCTAGAAAATGTTTAAGATAGACTTGAAAATGTTCTACATTGTCTGTCAATGTTCTGGACAATAATCTGAAACCGTTCTAGATACACTAGAAATTTCTAGAAAGTCAGAAAATGTTCCACATAGTCGAGAGAATGTTCTAGATAATCTAGATAACGTTCTAGATAGTCTGAAAATGTTCTAGATCGCCTAAAAATATTCTTGGTAGTCTAGAAAGTGTTATAGATATATTAAAAATAATCCAGATATTTTGAAAATTGTTCTAGGTAGTCTAAACATGTTATAGTTCGTCTGAAATTGTTCTAGATAGTCTAGAAATATTTTAGATCATCTGTAAATGTTCTAGTTAATTTATGTGATGTTCTAAATTGTTTGAAAATGTGCTGAATAATTTCAAAATATTACAAGTATTCGAAATATTCTAAAAAAGTACCAGCTATTATAAAAATTTCCTCGACAATCTGACAATGCTGCGACTTGTCTGAAAACGTTGCAACTCGCCTGAAAATGTTACAAATTGTCCGAAAATGTTGTAAACCATCTAAAGAAGTTGCAGGTCGTCTAAAGATGTTTTGGATAATATAAAATCTGTTCTAGATAAAATGAAAACTTGCCAAAATTGTCTTAAAATGTTGCAATTTTGTCTGCCAGTATTGCAAATCGTCTGATAATTTTGCAAATCGTTTAATATGTTTTAGATGATCTAAAATTAGTTCTAGACAGACAGAAAATTTCTAAAATTGTCTCAAAATGTGCAATGTCGTCGTCTAAAAATGTTGGAAATAGTCTGAAAACGTTTTAGATAATCTAAAATTAGTTTTAGATAATCTAAAATTAGTTTTAGATAGACTGAAACTTTTTGAGATAGTCTTAAAATTTGCAAACCATCAGAAAACGTTGCAACTTGTCTGATAATGTTGCAAATCGTCTAAAAATGTTTTAGATAATCTAAAATCAATTCTAGATAGACTGAAAATTTCCAAAATTGTTTTAAAATATTGCAATTTGTCTGACAATATTGCAACTCGTCTGAAAACGTTGCAAATCATCTGAAACTGTTGCAAGTCGTCTAAAAATGTTCTGGATAATTTAAAATTAGTTTTACATAGACTGAAAATTTCCAAAATTGTCTTACAATGTTGCAATTTGTCTGACAATATTGCAAATCATCTAAAAACGATTGCAAGTAGTCTGAAATTAGTTCTAGATAGACTGAAAATTTATAAAATAGTCTCAACGTTGCAATTGGTCTGAAAACGTTGCAAATCGTCTGACAAAGTTGCAACTCGTCTGATAATATTGTAAATCGTCTAAGATGTTGCAAATCGTCTAAAAATGTTTTACATAATCTAGAAGTAGTTCTAGTTAGTCTCAAAATGTTGCAACTTGTCTGAAAACGTTGCAAATTATGTGAAAGTTTATAAATCCAGGTGGAACAAAACTAAAATTAACATTAATGCATTTTTTTTTTCGAAAAATAAAGTTAACAAGTCTTAAACAAAAATATTTCGATTTTACTAAAAATCCCTTTACATCCTCAACTATTTTCATTTCGACATTAAAAAATAAAAAATTAAAAAAAAATAAAAAGTAAAACTTTTACAGCGCAGAGAGACTCATTCCTTTCACAAAAATAACTTATGTTCGCTAGGCCAGCTAGTATACATATATATATATATATATATATATATATATATATATAATATTAATTACATTTACCTCGTAACCAAAAGTAACAGCCATAACAGTTATAAGAAACCCGAAAAACATTTCAAGCTTCCTCAAACCGTACTTGTCGAGGAACAGAAAGGTGAAAGTATCGACTATCGTTATTAATACACCTGCCCATAGAGGGACCCTGAAAATAAATAAAAAAAATACTTAGTAAAATATATTTAGTGAAATATTAGAGGCATAAGGATCATTTTCCACTTACACTTTAAAAGATAGCAAATAAATAGCGATTGCAGTTCCTATAACTTCTTGCATATCGGATCCGATGATGGCGATCTCTATCATTATCCATAGAATGAATCTTGGTAATTTTCTATATTTTCTATAACACATTTCTGCTAAATGTAGACCCGTGACTACACCTAACCTAAAAGGAATAATAGAAATAAAATTATTTAAATCGATTATATAATTTGTTTTCTTTTTGGCAAAGAAACTCAAAACGCATTTTACAATGATGAAAAAGTTTTGTACGTATCATTACATAGGTATGACAATGGTAAATTCTTCTGGTAAAAAAATGGTTAATTAGATTAAAATATAAATTTTAATATTAATGAAATAATTTGATGAGTGAAATGTTCTTGTTAAAAAGTCTGCATTTAAAATGGTGTGAAGTTAGGTCTATCGCGTGAAGTTAGCCGTTGAGAAAACCGTTAAATTCAAAACACTGCATGAAAATTTTTGTTCATGTAATATACTTTTTGATAAAAATCTTACGTAATAGTAATATTTTTTTTAATTTAAGGGTATTTAATATTTATCTAGAACATTTTTAGAATATCTTGAATGTTTTCAGAAAAGCAAGAATATTTCTAGACTATCTAAAACATTTCTAAAAGATCAAATATATTTTTGGACTATCGAGAACATTTTACGACATTTTGCAACATTTTTAGACTGTATAGAACATTTAATAATTAAGTCTTTAATATTTCCAGAAAATCTAGAATATTTTAGACAATTTACAACATTTTCAGACAATCTAGAACATTTTTGGACTAAATAGAACATTTTTAGACTTTTTGCAAAATTTTTACACTATCTAGAATATTTCCAAAAAATCAAGAACATTTTTAGACTGCCTAGATTATTTTTAGGCTTTTTTCAAAATTTACAGACTATCTAGAACATTTCGGAAAAATCAACATATTTTTAGACTATTTAGAACTATTTTGTGTAAGCAAAATGTAAGGACAAGAAAAGAATTCTACTGACAAGCAAACATATCAAATCAAATGAAAATATTAACAACATAATTTTAAAAAAAAAATCTACTGACGAGCAAAATTAAGAAGAATGTTTGAAAAAAGGACTCTACTAACGAGCAAATATTTAAATAAAAATGGCAAAAAAGACTCTACTGACGAGCAAATTAAATACCAGAAGAAACAACATTAAGAGAATAGGGACTCTACTGACGAGCAAATGAAAATGTTTACAGGAAAATATTCAGAAAGAACTCTACTGACGACCAAATAAAAATGTTAAAAATTCAAAAAGAAATCTACTGAAAAATGTTAACAAATATTCGAAAAGAACTCTACTGACAAGCAAAAAATTATAAAAGATATTTGAATAAAAAGGACTCTGATGACAAGCAAATTGAACTTGACAAAATCATTCAAATCAATCAAATGATATAAAAAAGGGCTCTACTGACGACCAAAACTATTTGAAATGTTCCAAATAGGACTTTACTGACGAGCAAACATATTAAAACATGCTAGGAAAGAGGACTCTACCGACGAGCAAAAATTATCAAAAATGTTAATGATAACAAAAATATTTGAAAACATCCCAAAAAGCATTCTACTGTTGGGAAAACTTAAAAACTTATAACAAATCACAAAAAAACTCTACTTACGAGTAAACATTTACCAGCAAAATATACAAAAGGAATTCTACTGACGAGCAAAAATCATAAAAAATGTTTTAATAAAATGAACTCTTATGACGAGCAAATTTAACTGGACAAAAATATTGAAAAATAAAAAAGGACTCTACTGACGAGCGAAACTATTTGAAAATGTTCCAAAAAGGACTCTATTGACGAGCAAACATATTAAAACATGTAGGAGAAAAGGACTTTACCGACGAGCAAGAATTATAAAAGATGTTTGAACAAAATGGACAAATGACCAGCAAATTGAACTTGACAAAAATATTAGAAAATGAAAAAAAGGACTCTACTGACGAGCAAAATTATCTAAAATGTTCCAAAAAGGACTCTACTGATGAGCAAATATATAAATAAAAAATGACGAGAAATTTCAACAACAAAACACAAAGTCTCTTTATATTGATTTACAATAAAAACGCAAAAGTTCTAAATGTGAAACAAGCTTTATACACCTAAAGCATGTAGCACACTTAACCGTCTTCATATAAAACTATAAACGACTCGCATATACAAAATTACAAATGTGCATGCGGCTTTAGTGTAAAGCGTGCATCACACTATAAGAAAATACATACATTTATTAATTAAAATTTAAAAAAAAAAAAAGATAAAGATTGCATGATGGTCTTATATATAATAGAATTGATAATGTAAAATATTATAGGCCCACGAAAAGTGATTTAATTATAATAAAATCTTACTTAATAGAAATTATTTTCCTTATAATTTTATTACCTTGCCGAAAGCCTTTGCATACCAAGGCCCAACACTGTGGCACTCAGCAAGATCCATAGCAATTTGTACTGGGCCACGACACC